CAGAGTTTCTTTGGTGGATTTTTAGGATTTTTCTAATAAAGGAGTCCATCATCTGAAAACAGAGACAATTTTACTTCTTCCATCTGATTTGAATGCCTTTTATTTATTTTTTACATCTGATTGCTCTGGCTAGGACTTCCACTACTATGTGGAATAGGAGTAACAAAAGTGAGGACTTTTGTCTTGTTCCTAATCTCAGCAGAAAGCTTTCCGCCTCTGACTGCTGAGTATGACGTCAGCTGTGGGCATAACGATGTTAGCTGTGGGTTTTTATTATGTTGAATTTATTCCTTCTATACCCAAGTTGTTGCAAGTTTTTGTCATGAAGGGATATTGATTATTGGCAAATACTTTTTCTTCATCTACTTAGATGATTCCATAGTTTTTATTTTTACATACATTAATCTGGTATATCACATTTATTGATTTGCATTTCTTGAACCATCCTTGTATCCCCAGGGTGAGAATCACCTTGTATCCCAAGGATACATGTCACATGATCTTGGTGTTTGATTCTTTTGGTGTGTTGTTAAATTTGATTTGCTAGTACTTTGTTGAAAATTTTTGCATCTATATTCATCAGGATTATTGATCTATATTTTTCAGTATTTCTACTTTGTTGGCTTTGGTATCATGGTAATTCTGATGTAAAATGAGTTTCAGAGTATTCCCTTCTCTTTAATTTTTTGGAAGAGTTTGAAAAGAATTGACCTTAATTCTTCTTTAAATGTTTTTGTTGTTGTTGTTGATTTATTTTTTTTAATTTTTTTTCCAATGTTTATTTATTTTTGGGACAGAGAGAGACAGAGCATGAACGGGGGAGGGGCAGAGAGAGAGGGAGACACAGAATCGGAAACAGGCTCCAGGCTCTGAGCCATCAGCCCAGAGCCCGACGCGGGGCTCGAACTCCCGGACCGCGAGATCGTGACCTGGCTGAAGTCGGACGCTTAACCGCCTGCGCCACCCAGGCGCCCCTGTTTATTTATTTATTTTGAGGGAGAGAGAGAGAGAGAGAGAGAGAGAGAGAGTGTGTTAGAGGGGCAGAGAGCGAGGGATACAGAGAATCCCAAGCAGGCTCTGCTCCATCAGTGTAGAGCCCAGTGTGGGACTCAAACTCATGAGACCATGAGATCATGACCTAAGCTGAAACCAAGTTTTGGGCACTTAACTGACTGAGACATCCAAGTGCCCCTCTTTATTCAATGTTTGGTAGAATTAGGGGCACCTGGGTGGCTCAGTCAGTTAAGCATCTGACTTCGGATTTTGTCTCCCTCTTTCTCTGCCCCTCCCCCACTCGCACTCTGTTTCTGGCTCTTTCAAAAATGAATAAACGTTTAAAAAAATTTTTTTTTAATTTTTTTTTCAACGTTTATTTATTTTTGGGACAGAGAGAGACAGAGCATGAACGGGGGAGGGGCAGAGAGAGAGGGGACACAGAATCGGAAACAGGCTCCAGGCTCTGAGCCATCAGCCCAGAGCCCGACGCAGGGCTGGAACTCACGGACCGGGAGATCGTGACCTGGCTGAAGTTGGACGCTTAACCGACTGCGCCACCCAGGCGCCCCTAAAAATTTTTTTTAAATGCTGGTAGAATTCACCAAGGAAACCATGTGGTCCTTGGTTTTTATTTACTGGTTTTTTTTAATGTTTATTTATTTTTGAGAGCTGAGCTGTCAGCACAGAGCCCAACGTGGGGCTTGAACTCACGAACTGCGAGATCATGACCTGAGCCCAAGTCAGCTGCTTAACCGACTGAACCCACCCAGGTGCCCCTACGGGGGGGGGGGGGGGGGTTGATATTTGCAGATTCAATCTCCTTGTGATTTGTCTGTCCAGATTTTCTACTTCTTCCTGACTCAGTCTTGGTAGGTTACACGCTTCCAGAAATTTATCCATTTCTTCTAGGTTATCCAACTTGTTGGCATATTATTGTTCATAGTAGCATTTCATTAACTTTTGTATTTCCCTGGTTTCATTTGCATGTGTTCTCTTTCATTGCTGATATTATTTATTTGATTCTTCTTCTTTCTTAGTCTAACTAAAAGTTTCTCAATTTTATTCATCCACTCAAAGAGCCGGATCTTCTTTTGTTGATCTTTTCAATTGCTTTTTTGATCGCCATCTTACTTGTTTCTGCTCTGATCTTTGTTATTTCCTTCCTTTGTCTAATGTTGGATTAGTTTGGTTTTGTTGTTGTTCTTGTTGCTTTTGTTATGATATTTCTTTCTTCTTAGTGTAGGCACTTATCACTACGAACTTTTTAGAACTGTTTTTGTTTCATCCCATGTTTGGTATGTTACATTTGCAATTTCACCTGTTTCCAAATATTTTTTAATTCCCTTTTCAATTTCTTCTTTGATCCATTGGTTGTTCAAGAGTCTGTTGTGTAATTTCCAAGTATTTCTGAATTTTCCAAGTTTCTTTTGTTACTGATCTCTAGTTTCATTACACTGTAATCACAAAAGATCCTTGGTTTGATTTCAATCTTCTTACATTTGCTAAGGCTCCTTGTTTGTGACCTAATGTGATATATCTTGGAGAATGTCCTTGTGAACTTAAGAAAAATGTGTATTCTGCTACTGTTTGGTAGAATGCTCACTCATTGCTGATGGTAATTTAGAAAAAATGGTAGAGACTTTGGAAGACAGTCTGAGATTTATTACAAAACTATCCTATCTCTTTATAAGATCTAACATCATGTTGGATAGTAGAAATGATTCCTTAATGAACATTTTTATACAAGTGTGGATATATTTTCAAACTTCTTGTATTGATACCTACAAAAAAAGTTGCTAGGTCATATGGAAAATTTATGTGTATAGGTATTATTGAGTTTTGGGAGTTCTTTAAATATTTTGTGTATTATCAAATCAAATATATGATTGGAGGATTTCTTTCCCAGAACCCAGGATTGTGTTTTCACTTTCTAAGTCATGTTTTTTGAAGCATAACGTTTTTGAACTTTATAGAAGTCCAAATTATAATTTCTTCATCGCTTATGCTTTTGGTATTGTATCCAAAAAATGTTTGCTTAGCCCAGGGTTATGAATATTTACTACCATATTTTCTTGTAAGCCGTTTAAAATTTGAGGTGTGACATTTAGATCTATGACCCATTCAAGACAACTTTTAGGTATAATGTGAGGTTTAGGTTGAAATTTTTCATTTCTCAAGTGGATATCCAATTGTCTTGGAACTATTTGTTGGAAAGATTTTTTTTTTTCCCCACTAAATTAACTTGGTGCTACTGTTGAAAATCAAATAACCACAAATGGGAGGCTTCATTTTTTATTTACTTTCAATTCCATTTCATTGATTTATATGTCCATCTTATGCCAGTACCACAATGTCTTGATTAGTGTAACTTTGTAGTAAGCTTTGAGACAGACTCCAGCGTTTAAGCCTTCATATACCATTATTATCAAGGTCTTTGCCTATTCACAGTACTTTGTATTTTCATACAAACTTTAATAAAAAGTTGGTCAATTTCTGGAAAAAAGAAAAGAAAGAAAGAAAACCTGCTGAGATGTTGATAGAGATTGCTTTAAATTTATAGATAACTTTGGGGAGAATATCCATCAAGCTAAGACTCAATAGCCTCTCGGTCCATGAACATAGATTGTCTTCTTTTATTTGGACCTCCTTTCATTTCTTTCAGCTTTTTTAAAGCTTTAAATGCATAAGCTGTGTGCTCCTTTTATAAAATTCACTCTTAAACATTTAATTCTCTTTGATGCTATTGTGAACAGAATGGTCTTAATTTCATTTTTGGATTATTTTTAATAGAGAGAGATATAATTGGTTTTTCCACATTTGTCTCAGGTCCAGTAAAGTTGCTGGACTGCTTTATTAGGTTCTTGTCCTGTTGTTGTTGCTTTCATGTGTGGATCTCATGATTTTTATATTTGGGATTATTCTATAAGTGAAAAAAGGCAATTTTACTCTTCCTTTACACTCTCAACAATTGCTTTTCTTTTTCTCGTCTAATTATACTGTCAAAATCTCTAATGCAATGTGGAATGCATGATGAGAATAGATATCCTTGCCTTGTCTTTGGTCTTAAAGGGAAGCATTCAGTCTTTCATCAAGTATGAAGTCAGTTGTAGTTTTATAAATGCTGCTTATCAGACTGAGGAAATTCTCTTTTATCCCAAGTGTATTGAGCATTTTTTTTTTAAATCACAAATGGGTGTTGAATTTTGTCAAATGATTTTTCTGATTCAATGGAAATGATCATGTATTTTTCCATCCTTTAGTCAATTATTATGGTGCATTACATTAATTCATTTTGGGATGTTAAATCAACCTGACATATATGGGATGAATACTTTTAGTCATAGACAGTGTTTTCATAGTTTAAATTTTTTTGAAAAAATTTTGGTATTGTGTAAAAAAAGTTTAGTATTATCATTTTTCTAAAATTTTCAGAGAATTATAATCCCGATTTTCTTTGTGGAAGACTTTTAATAATTAATTCAATCCCTTGTATGGGCCTATTCATATTTCCTACATTTTCCTGAGTCAATTTTAGTAATGTGTATCCTTCTACAATTTGTCTGTTTCATCTAGCTTCTCTTATTTGTAGACATAAAGTTTCTCATTCATTAGCTTATCAACTTGGAATTATATTGACATTTTAAAAGAAACAATTTTTGTTTTATTGACTTTTTCTGTTTCATATCTTATTGATTCCCCACTATGCATAGTAATTTTTTTCTTTTGTTTGCTTTGGGTATAGTTCACTGTTCTTTTTCTTGTTATTCAGGTGGCAGCTTAGGTTAGTGATTTGAGATCTCTCTTCTTTCCTAATGTAATCAGTTTATTTTAAACATCTTTAATGTTTTATCATCATGCATGTAGATTAGGTCAAGAACTGTGTACAGAAGAGTCCTCTGTTTAAGATTACAGCTGTATCTTTTAATTCTTACAAAGTTCAAAGGGAATCCGTTGCACGTTAGTGCCTCGTCTTTCCTATTTATGTTACCTCTTTCACTTTTCCTTGTGCTCTGCCCTCCTGGCCCAAATGAGTTCAGGGCTTTCAATTCAGCTTTACATGGCTGTGATGATCAGTACAATCAAATAACTGTTACTTGGTTTTTCTTTATTGGAGTTAATACATCTGAATTCAGCTTTTTTTCTCCCTTCTCATACAACCACACATCTATTTCAAGGATTTATCTCCATACTTCTCCAGTCTGGATGCACAGAAGTGAGAAACTTGTATGTAGAACATTTGCAAGAAAATGAGACAAATTACACTGTAAAATCACCTGCTCCTAGCAAGTTTCTTTTTAGCTTTTGTGATAAAAAAAATGTCTGTCTCTTTGATTACTTAAAACTCCATTTCCTAATATTTCTTCCCCTTTGGTATTCCAGGCTGATAACTTTCAAAGAGAGGAAAAAGTAGTAGTATTGTCCAAGCTTTAGGAAGAGAAGCATTGCAGGTGAAAAACAAACAAACAAACAAAAAGTCTTTCTTTTTATAGTTAGCATTACTATTATTTGTTACTTCAAATTCATATAAAAAATGTATGTTAGAATTTGTGTGTATGAAGACTACTTTGTAATCAGTTCAAAATGTCAGATTAATTTTTTCAATTAAATGTTACTGTAGCCTGTTAAGTGCTAGCTATTTTTCATGGTATGGAAACACTAAGCTGGAATTCTAATGAAGGAAGAAAGGAGCCACGAATATGTATGATACTATACGTCAGCGAAATAATCATAAAATAATATTTGTTTTTTCTTTTGCCGGGCATCTGAAAATGCTTATGCATCAAAAGTGGTTAAAACAAAATACAAACATTTTTAATTGTTAAACTTTTCCTAATAGTAAGGGATTTTATTCTTGAACATCAGAGGTAGATCGATGTGCTTGGCTCTCACAAGGATATGTAAGATTTTTATATGCAAAATAGCGATTGCCAGATGTGCTTTATCTATATTAGATGGAAGAGGAATATAAATGAGGTCAAGTACTCAGCGTGCATAGCATGACATTTCAAAATGTTTCTAGTCACACATCTTATTTTCAGTAACATCTTAAATCTGTCAGTTGGTAAAATTAAATGACATTCCCTAAGACATCATTATTTTAGAACCTGGAAAGGGAGAATACTCATTTAGTATCTTCTTTTAAATTAGCAATTTCGAAGAGAGGATTACATCATTGCTTAAAATTCAGGGGTGAAAATAAAGGAAATTAATTGGCAGGACCCTGAAGTATAACTTTGATGTCATGAATCTAAATGTTTGCAATAACTATAAACCTATGATGAAAATGCGATATGCTTATACTGACTGGTGCATCCTCCAAAGAAAAATTAAAAGCATATATCTCTAACCAAGGAAAGCACAAAGTTCATTTTAAATATGGATGCGCTGGTGATAGATGCATGTCAGTCCGGAAGAAATACAGCTATTGCCAGCAATGAAGCAACATAAAAAATAATTCTTATAAAAAGCATCTTAAAACAAAATCATTACAAAACGACTACATCTTTCATCATCTGCCAAGTTTTTGAAATTGTTAAATTATAATAATGCAGGAAAGGACAGCCTCATCAATAATTGAGAAACTTCATAAATTGCATTTAAATGATGTGTGAAGAACAGAAAAAAATAACATCGGACTTTGGAAAATATAGAAAAAGTAAAACTTTTCTATTGCCATCTCTGTAGTACCTATAAGGTGTCAGGAACTATGATACAAGATATATGTAGATTATTTCTAATAATTTAAACATTGCTGAAGATGTGTGTCCTCTTTTAAGGGTGAAAACTCCTGTTTGTTATCACTTACTGGCAGTTGGAAAAATGAAGGTTTGAACTGAGTTTACCAAACATAAATTTCATGGGAAGAGTTTTTCAGGTCTCAGGTATCACTACCATTTATCTAATTATTTCCTTATTGACCTGAAAAATATTATTCATTTAATAAATGTTTTAAGATCTTCTTTGTGCTAGTCATTAATCAAGTTTGTGGCAGAAAACAGTGGATAAACAGACAAAAACCTATGTCATAATGGAGTTTATAGTCTAGTAAGGTACTCATATACACACAAAAATAAGCAACAAAATAGAACATATAAAATGTTAAGTAGTGAAACATGTCACAGAAAAAAATAAGGCAGGGAAAGTTGGAATCTGGTTGGGAAGGGTGGTCAATTGTAATTAGATTAGCTAGGGAAAGGCTTGCTAAGACAGTGATTTTGCACAAAATGTGAAAGAAGTAAGAGGATTTACAGGAATTTTATATGGAAAAATATAACTCTAGCATGAGAAAATATTAAGTAAAAACACTTTGAGATGGTAGTATGTTTATTTTTGAATACATGTCAATTTGTATAACTACTTTGCCATAAAACTTCCATCAACTTTTCATCTCATTCATAATAAGGATCAAAAACCTTACATCTGTATGACAGCTGTATTTTTCCTATATCTATCTCCTCTTGCCTACAAGTTGCCTTCTTCCACATTTCTCTGTCACTATAATTATCTCTTTCTGTCTCAAGGATCACTTGAACTTCTCTGTTAAGTGTAAACTATAGATAACAATGGAAAAAAAAACAGAAAGAACACTTAATAGACAATAAAGCACTCAGAGATGATAGTTGCTTGGACCAGCATGGTAAAGTATAAGTGACAAATGAAGTGGTTGGATCCTTAATATATTTGGAAGGAATTGCCAACAAAATGTTATGACTGACTGATGGTGGAGGGTAAAACAGATTCAGAAACAAGTGCAGGGTATTTGGCCTATAAAACCAGAAGGAAGGAGTTATCACTTACTGAATTAGAGAAAAAAAAAGGAATAGAACAAATTTGAGGAAAATATCAGGAGTTTGTTTTTGACTATCTTTACTAAGTACATTAAACACATTATTGGAGGTATTAAATCAGCATATATAAGTCTGGACTTCAGATAAAAGTCTCAGATGGTTGATATAAACTTAAGAGTCTATTTCAATAGGCTTTATTATTATTTAGACATGGGGGGCCAACATTATTAGGTATGGTCAATAAGGAGGAGAATGCCATTGATACTTTAATGACACACTGTTGCAAGGTAGTTTTTTATACAAATCTCAAAAGAGAAGGAATACATGTCATGCCATGGGGGATGGACTACATGGGGAAACCCCAGGATCAGTCATGAGGCAGGGGAAAGAGAGGACCCATGGGCAAGAGATTTTATTGTGGTTTCTGTGGGAAGGAACAGGTAAGATGACATAAGAAAACTTAATACTGACTAATTTGACTAATGTCAACGGACTCTGGGGCATAGGTGCTGTCCCCAGTTGTCTGATGTCTAGTACCGGAGCTATCAGGGCAAGTGTCTAGTGGCCTAGGGTGTGAGAGTCTGAAAAAGGAGGCTGGTGGGATTGTAGACTCTGTATTTGTTGGTTGGCACCTTGAAAGGGTACCCCTGGGAGATGGATTCTTCTCAAAGAAGAGAGTGATGAGGGATGCAGGAAACCAAGGCAATGTGACTCAGAACAAGGTGTTTCTAGCATATGTATGCAGGGCAGATGTTATAGCATCAAGTTTACATAAGTTAGAAACATGTCAAATACAGAGTTGTCACTGGTAGGTGGTGTTTAAAGCCATGATTATGAATATCTTTAAAGCAGAAATGAAAAGTGAAGTACTTGAAATGATTGGTAACAGATAGAAGCTGGTGCAGGAAGAGAATCCTCAGGGTCACAGCTAATAGCATCCTCAATGAGGAAAAACTGAGAGCTTTCCCCCTAAGGTCAGGAACACAACAGGGATGTTCACTCCCACTACTGTTATTCAACATAGTGTTAGAAGTCCTAGCCTCAGCAATCAGACAATACAAAGAAATAAAAGGTATCCTAATCAGCAAGGAGGAAGTCAAACTTTCACTCTTTTCAGATGACATGATACTCCATGTGGAAAACCCAAAAGACTCCACCAAAAAACTGATAGAATAGATATATGAATTCAGCAAAGTCACCAGATATGAATTCAATGTACAGAAATCGATTGCATTTCTATGCACCAATAATGAAGCAGCAGAAAGAGAAGTCAAGGAATCCATCCCATTTACAATTGCACCAAAAACCGTAAAATACTTAGGAATAAACCTAACCAAAGAGAAGAAAAATCTATACGCTGAAAACTATAGAAAGCTTATGAAAGAAATTGAAGACGACACAAAGAAATGGAAAAACATTCCATGCTCATGGATTGGAAGAACAAATCTTGTTAAAACGTTGATACTACCCAAAGCAATCTACATATTCAATGCAATCCCCATCAAAATAATACAAGCATTCTTCACCAAGCTAGAACAAGCAATTCTAAAATTTGTATGGAACCACAAAACACCCCGAAAGGCCAAAGTAATGTTGAAAAAAAAAGCCAAAGCTGTGGTATCACATTTACAGACGTCAAGCTCTATTCAAAGCTGTAATCACCAAGACAGTATGGTACTGGCACAAAAACAGACACATAGACCAATGGAACAGAATAGAGAACCCGGAAATGGACCCACAAATGGATGGCCAACTAATCTTTGACAAAGCAGGAAAGAATATCCAATGGAAAAAAGATAGTCTCTTCAGCAAATTGTGTTGGGAAAACTGGATAGCAACATGCAGAAAAATGAACCTGGACCACTTTCTTACACCACACACAAAAAATAAACTCAAAATGGATGAAAGACCTAAATGTGAGACAAGAAGCCATTAAAATCCTCGAGGAGAAAACAACAACCTCTTTGACCTCATCTGCTGTAACTTCTTACTTGACATGTCTCTGGAGACAAGGGAAACAAAAGCAAAAATTAACTATTGGGACCTCATCAAAATAAAAATTTTCTGCACAGCAAAGGAAACAACAAAACTAAAAGGTACCAATGGAATAGGAGAAGATATTTGCAAATGACACATCAGGTAAGGGTTAGTATCCAAAGTCTATAAAGAACTTATCAAAATCAACACCCCAAAAAAACAATCCAGTGAAGAAATGGGGAAAAGACAT